ATACCACTCTCCATATGAGAAAAACTGTTTCCATCAGAACTAGTTAGTACAGATGTATTAAAACACATATGTGACTGAAATGAAAGTTTTATGAAATACATTACCCTTTTTATATATGGTACATTCTGTTTTCTCTTTCATGTTTTCATAAAGCTGGTTGTGACCCCCTGTATTGATTTCATGACACTGGCGTAAATGAAAGTAAAGCTTAGGGCTATGAGTATAGTATCATAGAATTCTTTTTCCTCTTAGGCACTTGGGGAGAAGGTGCAGGGCCCAACGTGTCCCTGGAGGCTAGGGTAGGCCCCCTCATCTGTTGCCTTCTGCCTTCCCTGCTAGACTCTAAGCTCCCTGAGGGCAAAGGTGACTTTGTTAGATTGTTGTATCCTCAAGTCCTGTCACAGTGCTCAGCACCTGGAAGGCACTGACCTGTGAGATGAAGAATGATCAAGAGAGTTAACATCACAAAATTAAACAGTGATAAGTGTTGAAACCCACAAGATTAGAGGACAGGGGAAGATGAAGCGGTACAGAGTTTGCACGGGCACAGGCCCCTTGCCTGCATGCCATTCTGAGGGCTTGGGTGCAGTGCGATAGCACCTTCCTCTTCAGTTAGATGGGAATGGCAGTGCCAGTAGCTGCCTCAAAGGTGGGTTATTGTAGGACCAGGTGGGTTCATGCAGGTGAGGCGCCCAGGAAAGCACCTAGTGTGGCTGGGGGTGGGGGGTGTTCTTTCCACTCACAGAAGTTTATAGTAGACTGCAGGTAAGAGTGATGTGATTGGCTGGCGCAGTGGCTCACCCTGTAATCCCAGCACTTTGGGAGGCTGAGGCAGGTGGATCACCTGGGTCAGAAGTTTGAGACCAGCCTGGCCAACATGGTGAAACCCCGTCTCTACTAAAAGTACAAAAATTAGCTGGGCGTGGTGGCGCACACCTGTAATCCTGGCTACTTGGGAGGCTGAAGCAGGAGAATCGCCTGAACCCAGGAGGCAGAGGTTGCAGTGAGCCGAGATCGCGCCACTGCACCCCAGCCTGGGAGACAGAGCAAGACTGTCTCAAACAACAACAACAAAAAATAGTGACATTATTGAGATAAACTTGAATTTACTTTCACTTTTTAAAAATAATTTGCAAAATTAATAAATTATGCTTGGCAAAGTACTTTCAGCTGAACTCAGCATATCAGTGTTTCCTGGCCCTGGAGCAAGAGTTGCTGCCTAGAACACAGGAGGCCTTTGTAGTGTCCCTGGGGGAAAAGCTTTCTAAAAACTCCCTGAATCTGCACCGCTAAGTGTGTGTTACTGACCTGAGGTGGGGCGTGGAAAACCATTGGTCAGTCAGAGGAGACTGCACATCCAAAGAAGAGGCAGAGGAGGGAGGATTGTTTTCAAATTCTAAAGAAGATTTGGGTTATTTGCTTTTGCAGTTATAAAAATTGGTATTCCCCTCCCCCCCTACAACAGACTCACTCACCTGCCTCTGGCCAGTGGTTCTGTGTGGGTGTGCTGGCTGAGCTGTTGTGAAGGAGGAATTGACACTTTTGTTCCTTGTGCTGGGGTGGGAGTGGGGGTGTAACTATTAAAGCTGATGTGACTGGGCAGCGTAGCTCACGCCTGTAATCCCAGCACTTTGGGAGGCCAAGGCAGGTGGATCACCTGAGGTCGGGAGTTCGAGACCAGCCTGACCAACACGGAGAAACCCTGTCTCTACTAAAAATACAAAATTAGCCAGGCATGGTGGCACATGCCTGTAGTCCCGGCTACTCAGGAGGCTGAGGCAGGAGAATCGCTTGAACCCAGGAGGCAGAGGTTGCGGTGAGCCAAGATCGCGCCATTGCACTCCAGCCTGGGCAACAAGAGTAAAACTCTGTCTCAGAAAAAAGAAAAAAAAAAAAGCTGATGCATATTGCAAAGTTGCATGTATTTCCCAGTGCTGTTTTGTTTCTTTCAGAGGAGGAAAAAAAATGAAGTCTTTTTTTTTCTCTTCATTAGCAGGGAAAAAATGTCTGATCACCTTTTTTTGTTTGTTTTTGTTTGTTTTATTTTTGAGATAGTTTTGCTCTGTCATCCAGGCTGGAGTGCAGTGACACGATCCCTGCTCACTGCAACTTCCGCCTCCTGGGTTCATTGCATGCCAGCCTCCCGAGTAGCTGGGGTTACAGATATGTACCACCACACCCAGCACATTTTTGTATTTTTTTCTTTTTTTTTTTTTTTTTTTTTACTAAAGGCAGGGTTTCACCGTGTTGGCCAGACAGGTCTCGAACTCCTGGCCTCAAGTTACCTGCCCACCTTGGCCTCCCAAAGTGCTGGGATTACAGGCGTGAGCCACCGCGCCCGGCCACCCTTTTTTTTTTTTTTTTTAAGATTATTATTAAAATTGGCAGAGTATTACTCTTCAGAAAGAATTTATGATTTTGTGGAATGACTCACAGCCCAGGCAGTTCGTATTACATAGTGCACAAGGGAAATGAGAACTACACCTGGATGTGCTGGAATTGCTCCAAGGGGACCTTTGGAAGCAAGAAGATGCATTGTCAACCAGCACACGCCATTAGTGGAAACAGGACTGATTTTACCCAGCATTTTTCCTTTTTTACAGGAAAATGAGTGTAGTTCCATTCAATTGAACATGATAGGTGTTCCCATCTGCCTCCTTAGTGTGACCCCTCCTCGTTGCGAAGACTAAGGAGAGGTTCCTGTTCCTGGAGTTGGACATAGAACTTGGCCATATGAGTACCCAATGCCCCAATCAAACTGCTGGTTTTCGTTTTTAGGCACCAAATGGGAATGTTCTGAAGGGAATGAAACTGTAATCGCATGTTTCAACCTTGGGTGGGCTCCAGAATTTGCATGGAGGAGGGAGATGATTTATCCTTCCTAAGCATCCGCCAGCTCAGAGTTGACTCTGGACTTGAACCTGATTTCCTCTCAGTGGTGTAGCTCTCAGCAGCCCATCTATTTGGGATGATAGTGTGTACATTTCCATCTCTGGCCATTGTGAGTGCCTCCACTGTGGCTGGTCGGAATGGTGTTGTGTGCGTGGCACCTGTAACACATACTTTGCCAACAAAAAGGAATTGCCATTTTTGTGATGAGCACAAAATTTCAAATGGCTTTTGAACAGGAGCTCTCTGAATATTCTTGTGAATCTCAGGGGGTTCTTTATGGTAGCACTGCCCTTTGTTTCTGTGGCTTCTCTGGCTGAGACAGAAACTTCTGAAGATTATCGGCCCTTTGACATCCTTTACCAAACAACACAGTGAACCAGGACCCACGGTGCGGCCTCTGCCCAGCTGAGGAATGCTGAGTACCTCTCTTCTGTGTTCTCATCATTTCAAGACATTTTAGTTCTTCTGGCTTCAGTAGATTCTTTACCCACGAAGAGGGGGATTCTGATAGCAATCAGGGAAGCTCAGCTGACTGAGGAACAGCTAACAGGCTCGCAGGGGCTCTGTCATGGACATTCTCCTTTGCTGTGTTTCTTTTCCTCCCCACTGCCCTGCGTGGCCAACGTTCCTCCCTCAGGAATGTCTCAGCCCCAACACTATTCAGGGCCTGAGTCTGTGGTGAGGATTCCTTTCCTGACCTGGCGGTTGTCCAGTTTTCCTGCAAAATGGGAATTGTGAGCACTACCTGTTCCAAGCAAGAATGTTTGTTATATTCAAACAGATATGCAAAGAGAAAATTTTAAGAGTCAATAAAAAACAATTCTCGTATCCCTGAGATAAGCAGATTAATAGTGTCGAGTGTCAATATTTTGGCTGTAGACCATTATCTTGTTATCGATCCAGAAGAAATATGGTATTGACTCAGTAGCTTCGTTTACTTTTTGCTAGCATTGTTTTGCTTTGCTTTTTCTTCTTTTTAAATGTCACGGTCTGCTTTTTTTCCTTTGTCTCTTCACTGTCCAGTCGGAGAATGACAGCACTGAGTTTGAGCACAAGCAAAGCAGTTGGTTCCCTGTTTCAGATGTAGTTCGGTTGTCAAACCATTTCATTCTCTGACCTCAAGTGGGTGGAATCAATCCTTCCCGACTTACCTCATGTCCTTAGAATAACTTTCCCCAAAGACGTATTTCTGAATGCCCTTTTTAGCATCTTGTAAGGTGCGTTTGGTCGGTTCTTTGTGATATGTTTAGGATTTGTACTTTTTCATTGTTTGCTGACTGTGTTTCCTGAGCTGCATTTTCCAAAAGAGAAACACTACAGAATCATTTTTGCTGATGGCTGGTGAAGGAGACACTCATCAATAGCTGAAAGAGGAGAAACTGGAACAAAAAGCGTAGCTAAAGTGGTTTTGTGGGAATGTGATTACAGAGTTGGTTTTAATAATAAGAGGCTGTTTGGCACCGTTGTCTCTGTGAAATGGGCTTGAAAGGCAGTTGCTCATTCTTAATGTCCACTGCACATGGACTGCTCTGGTGGGTCCGTGACGAGGCCTGTGGAGGGAGGAGGCCAGATCCTCTCCTTCAGATGCTTATGCTGTTGGTGGGGGGGGATCCGGTGGGGGGGCGCCAGGGGGCGTCTCCTGCCCCGTGGCCAGGAGGAGCATATGTGCGTGTTCCTCATGACTACAGCTGCTGTGGGGCAGTCCTTAACAATGCATCCAAGGAGGGTCAATCTTCTCATTTGTTTTTAAAAAAGGATCTCTTTCCGTCTTTACATTGAGTTTGGATCCAGAGCAGGAGGGAGGTAGGAAGTTAGAGGGATTTAGGCTAGCAGGATTTTCTCCCAGGCCTCACAGCATGTGGACACACAGATCAATTTCTTATCCTGTGTTCAGCTGGACACTGGGTTAGAGACTGTGTTGATCAAGATGTCCCCTCCTGTTTCATATCATATAACGCATTCATTTCAGCCACTGAGCCTAAATTACTGTTTGCTTTCTTTCTGCCTTTCTTTCCCCCCTCCCCGAAATGGTAAGAATGGTAAGGATGAAGTTAGTTTATCCGTGCTAATGCTTTGATTTTTTTTTTTTCTCTTTCTCTTTGCCACAGTAGGTAACCAGTTAGGGGCCTTGGTACATCAAAGGTAAGCAGTGGGTTATGTTTTATTATTTATTGATCATTTCTAATTGTTTATTGATCCACCATCTGTACTAGAGTGCTAGAAAGTCAGAGGTTGAGTGTGTGAAAAAGCATGGGTTAGGCTTCTTTAAGACTCGAGTTTTTTGCTAGCCATTTCCAAGATAGTGTCAGCTCAGGGATAAACCAATACAAAGCTTTAAAAATCAGCCATTATTGCAGTAACTTAAAATACTTGTAGAAGATTGGAGTTGCTCTTTCTACCAGTATACATTTAATTTAAAAGGAGAGAATGAGATTTTCCCACCTGGTTTTGTGGTGTTGCCAATATTTAATTAATCCTCAGCCTCTTCACCTGAGAAGGGACACCTCGAAGTGTGAGGGTCAGACACTCCCAAGAGAATGCTCTGGGTGCCCAGGAAGTATGGGTGGGTGGCTAGTGTGTAGTGGGGAGGCCAGAAGCCAGGGTTCCATCCCTCCAAAGTGGTAGGGACTTGCCAGAGAGCCTCAGCCCAGCTGATTATCTGTTTCTGTGTCCCCTCATAGCCTTCTGTCAAACATTGAGGATTTAGAGAGATACAGAAAGAGCCCTGAGTTTTACAAAGGCCAGTCTGTAAGATGGGGTATGTGTGGTCATAGTGTATCGCCCTTCAAACAGGAAAACATATACAAGAAACTGCCACAGTTTCTCTTCCGGAAGGATGAATTTTGTGCTGTGTATCTGTTGCTGTAACATATCCTTAACCTTCTATCAGCAAAACAATTCTGTCATCTTGTATTCTGCCTAGCTGTTTGGGAGTTTCTAGAAATCACCAGGCATCAGTTAAACAAAAGTTTTACCCTGGGTTTTTTTGTTATTGTTTCTTTATTTGCTTTGTTTTGTTTGTTGATGAATTGAAAAATTTAAATGAGGTGATCATTAGTATCAAATGTTGACTTTCCTATAAAGCCATAACTAGTCAGGATTTTCTTTTCCAAGGTGTTTATATTTTGTACCTTGGACAAGTTTCAGCCTTGCATTGAGATTAGAACGTTTTCTTCCTGGAAACCCAGAGTATGTTTCTTGCTCAGAATCCACTAAAGTTATTCCTTAGGGCCAGGAGCTGCCTGGGCTTTGTGACATTTTGTATTGCAGTAGTATTGAAGCCCCTCTAGTCAATTCCCAGGTAGTATTTTCTGAGAATAGACAGAGTAGACAGCTCATGCTACACATGGTATGAGCAGCAGCCTCCTGGCCACAGGCACAAGAGCCCTGTCATCTGTCGCAACAGAGTCAGGAAGCACATCCTGACAGGGACCTGGCTTCTGCTGCAGGACACGTTGGGACGGCAAGACTTGGCATTCACATCCATGGTGTTACTGATTAGCAAGCTGGGAATGAATTGCCTGATCTGGGGAGAACACATATATCCCAAGAGGTGGAGAGAATCCCGTCTTGTACATAAGCTTGAGGGTGTAAACTCCACAAAGAGAAGACTGTTGTTCCCATCAAAATGATACAGTGGCAAGTGCTATTTATGCTGTTGCATTTCTTCTAAGTAATGCACTCTCCCTAAAAATATGCACTTATTCCATCTTTTCTGTGATGGGTAAAAATCCAGCTGTGTGAGAGATGTTTAAAAATGCTTGCCCCTTTTTTTTGTTTTGTTTTTAACTACTTGCATTTAGCATCCTCCCAAGGTAAATGTTGAGATTTAATTGCTTTCTGGGGTGTTGGGCAAATTAGACATTGTCCACAATACACTGTATGGCAGATTTGAAGGTTTGTTTGAAAAAAGCCAGTGCAATAGTAGTTTAAAAAAAAAAAGGCACATAATGGATGGGATAGCATTTAACAGAAGTACCTTGCAGAGTAAGTGAGGTAATTATTCTGTTCTGGCAACACTGATTACGCCTCCATCGGATACTGATTCCATTTGGGGCATCTCAACTTAAGAAACATCCATAAATTAGAAGGGAGGCCAGCAGACAATAAAAAGATTGGGAAACAAGGAATGTTGAAGAAAAGTTGGGTATCTCTTCATCTAGAGAGGACTCCACAGTGGAAGTCTGAACATCTCCCACAACCCCGGAGGACCTTTCAGTGACCTGGGATTGATGGCCCGTTGGTTAGAGAGCACCTAAGCAGGCAGAATGAGGCAACGCTGAGAGGTGCTGTTTGAAGAAAAGGCAGCTGTTAGAGGAGGTGGTGGTTTCGTGAAAACCCGAGGTTTCTTCCTCTGACACAGGGAGATGAAAGGCTTAGACCTTTAGGAGGAATGATTGACCAGAGGGTTCATTACATGACACTCTTTGTAGATGGTGGCGGATTTGTTGGCCAGATTGGCCTGATGTATTTTAAGCTTTTATCTTGCAACATTGCCAGTGTGGGCAATTTGGGGACCTAAAATGGCTGCAAAATTCTGTATTCTGTATTTTTTCCAAAATGTTCTTTGTTTTTAGGACAGTAATAACGGAAGAATTCAAAGTGCCTGACAAAATGGTTGGATTTAGTAAGTATCCGTGTTGTCTACTTTTTCCCTGATTCCTGTCTCTTCTTTTTCTCTCTGTTTTTTTCTGAGCTCCTTTGCCAGGAGGTCCTTTTTGTTTTAATCTCTCTTGTGGGTGTCACCTGTAGTAGAATGCTTTGCACATGCTGTTCCCCACAGCTCTGAAGTGCTGCAGAAACCAGACCACTGGGCTGTGGATGCCCCCGCCTTCCCCACCTCTCCTCATCTCAGCTTGAATCCCCTCTGCCTGTAGGCTGTTTCACACGGGGTTTCTGCTGCCATCGTGCCCAAAGAGTGGAGATGGGCTCACAGGGGCCAACTCGATGTGTAGTGTTGTGAGCCAAGTGTCACAGTTTGTGGAATTAATTCAGTCATTCATGCGTGGTGAACTATGGAATGGGGGCGTGTATTCTGACCCTGTTCAATTTGTTTCAGTTATCGGCAGGGGAGGTGAGCAGATTTCACGGATTCAAGCAGAATCTGGTTGCAAAATTCAGATTGCTTCAGGTAAGGGCTTTTTAAAAATAGATATCAATTTTATAGAAATCAGTATTTTACAAACATTTCCAGATTCGGTACTTTGCTTGTTGCTTGGGTAAGTATATGCGATTGGTGTTTTCCTTGCACTTCGGGAGTTGGACTCCTAAATGAGAACCAGAAGGATCAGAGCAAAGGTGGGCCCGGAGATAAGGCCTCGTATCTGGCTTCTGGGGTAAACTCTCCCGCAGCTCTGTGGCCAGACATGGCCCCTTCCCAAACACCTGCCACTCTAGGACCTATGTTTTCTGCACCAGAATGTTATGCCAGACATAGTGGCATAATGGGGCCTGTAGGAATCCTACGATTTTGGGGTCACTCCTTGACTGTGTGCATCAGGAGAGCCTCCCCTGGATGAGACTGTCCCTTCCCTTTGTGGGAAGAGGATAGCTGGGGGTCCTGGCTGGATTAGCACTCACTGAACATGTTTTCCAACCTTTCCTAGCTGGGTTCATTTTGACCATGCAATATGGAGAGAGATGGAGTGAAGAACAGTTTTTTATTTTATTTATGGTTTTGTCATCTAATTTGAGCTTGACCTCTTTCCATTGCAAAGGAAGGGGTTTGAAGGACATTTGACTAGAAAAATGTTTGTCCTTTTAAAAGATACGTATTACAGTGTCTTGAAGGCAGTAACTCCTGTTAGCTGTTTCTCTTTCATTTTTTTGAGGAAGGATTTTGAGAAGCAAATTTTTTAGGAACAAAATGAGGCATCGTGTGGTGTTAGAAAGTAACGTGTTTCTCTCGTTCAATGGCCTAGTTCCACATAGATGTCACTGATCTCTTGGGACATTCATGCCATAACTGGTATGTCCTGATATATGTGTCATGAAGTTCCTTCCTAGTGTGCTAGCTTGTGTGCCATGTGCAGACACATCACCGTTGAGCTGCAAATGGAGAAACTGAGGAATAGCACAATAAAGGGACTGAAACAATTACTAGCGTGTGAATGGCTCAGAAGTGAAGCTGAGACGGGTAATCAGGACCAACTCACAGACCCTGTCACGTCCTTCTAGCTTCCCCTGTGGGACTTGTTTCTGCTTCGAGAACCCAGGGTGGAGCTACCAGCTTCATATTCTGTCCACAAGCGGAAGCAAACTGTCTTTTTCTGGGAGCCTGGGCCTCTGCGGGGCTGGCGCAGGCAGCAGCCCTAGAGAGAGTCTGTACAGAGGCAGAGTTGCATGTGCCCGGTGCCCACCAACACCCCTCATCTTCTTGATTCTTCTTATAGAGAGTTCTGGGATTCCAGAGAGGCCCTGTGTACTTACCGGAACCCCAGAAAGTATTGAGTAAGTTTATTTTATTTACTTTTTCTTTCACTCTTCTTCCTCCTTCCCCAAATGGGGAGAAATGGAAGGGCAACACTGTTACTGAACACTGTGAATCTGTGCTGCAGTCTGGCCACACAGGCAGATAATTCCACAGGAAAAAAATCTGGGAGGTTACTGTGCCAGGGGATTTTGTTACCTTAAGTACACGAGATACCGCCTTCGTTCTAAACCCCACAGCTGTCATAACTTCTCCTTCAAACCAGGGTCTCAGGAGTGTACATTCACCCCACCTGAATGCTCTAATCAACTTACTTCTTCCTTGTTAACATCTCCTTTACCTGAGCAGGTCTGGATTAGTAAGCCAGTCAGTTGGTGAGCTACTGAGAATCCTGGTACCAGGTCTTTTGGCTGGAGGCTGATCCCGTTACCCTTCTGATATTTGTGAACCAAATGAGTCAACTCTTCGTGACCTTTGCTCTACTCAGAGGGCCATACGGACTGGCCAGAGGATGTTTTGACTTTTGACGCCCTTGCAACAGCCTTAAGACTAACATTGCTTTCCTACCCTATTACTCACAAACTCAGAACCTTGTACCAGGTGCAGGTGTCATAAATCCAAGAATCTCCCAGGAAAGGGAAACATACTGACTTATAGTCTGCTTGCTGTCCTTCAGTCTACAGGGCAGCACTGCATTTGGGGCCAGGAGTGCTAAGATTATATCTGGCTCAATAGGTAGGGTTGTTTTATTGTTTCCATTTCTCAGGGAGTCTAGATGAGCTTAAATTCTCTTGTTCTGCCATCACATTGCAAGCAGTGAACCAGAATAAATATCGCTGGCAGGTGTGCATTACAGGGCAAGCTGGATGGTTTGCTGGAGTCAAAGCATTTTTCTTCCAACACAGGTTAATCTAGTACACAAGCAAAATATTAAAAAGCTGCTGTAACTGGGAAGATACACGAAGCTGATTCTGTACGCAAAGGCTCAAGACTACAAAAGGCCACATCTATTTCCTGCCTTTCTCTTCTTTCTTACTACTCTTCTAACCATTCCTGCTTCCTGTCTACCCAAGGACCAGAGGCAGTGGGATTATAACTTTAGGAGGAGACAAATTTCATTTTCTTCAGTGAGCAGCACAGCCAGCCTGTTCAGTAGCTGAATTCTTCTCCATTAGAGAAGCCAAAAAGCAGATCACGTGTGGCAATTTAGAGAATAAATACGAGAAATAACAGCCAGGAGAAATTCTGGTGCAGAAAAGGAAATTGGCCCAGCAGATGACTTTGGTGGTCTGGGCTGTGCTGTCGCCATGTTACAGTTGCCCTCCCCCGCTGCCCGAGAAATCAACACAATGGCAGGACATGTGACATGCAGGGTCCCAACTTGGCTGCCATGGAAAGCCCAAAGCAGGTGTCTGTGAGTGCACAGCTGCATCCAGCACCGCCTCCCCCTTTCCCACCTCTTGGAACCAAACTGGGATTCATAGCCTTAGCTTAGAAGTCGTAGAGCAGTGTTGTTGGTTATGAAGAGGCAGCGTGGAGTATGGGAGTTCAGACAGTGAGTACTAATCCTTGCTTGCTTTCTTCCCATCTTTCTCATTGCTGGCTGTCTCTCCTGCCTGCGTTATTTAACAAATGTGTACCGAGTATACTCTGTGAGAAGGGTCGTGTTGGATGGGGGAACAGAGAGATGTAAAGGGATAAAAGATGGTCTCTGCCTCCAGAGCAGCTGGCATCCTAATAGGAGACGACACCTTTGTGGAGACATAAGCATGAGCAGAGGGCAGGCTTGAAAGGGGCGGCAAGGCTCTGTGTTGCAGCGTTGGTACTATGGTGTGTGTTGCTTTTAAATTCCAGCCCAGTAGCGTGGCGGATGGCAGAGAGACCTCCGGGTTGGGGCAGGAGCTGGAGCTGGATGGAGGGCTGCCCTGACTCCCGCAGCTTTTCCCTCAGTGCTATTTCCCTGTCTTGCACACCCAGAGCCTCCATTTAATGCTGGCTCTCTTGTGGTTCTTTTCCCTCCCAAAGACAAGCCAAACGGCTCCTGGGACAGATTGTGGACCGCTGTCGAAATGGACCTGGCTTTCATAATGACATAGACAGCAACAGCACAATCCAGGAGATTCTCATTCCCGCATCTAAAGTGGGTCTGGTCATCGGCAGAGGAGGGGAAACAATCAAGCAGTTGCAGGTATGTAAGCCCGGAGCGCGGAGCACAGCGGCCGCTCTCAGCAGGTCTTCAGCTTCCTGGCCCAGAGATCTGCTCACGGCCGGCATTCTCTGACTGGGCTGGCTTTGCACAGCATGATGCTGAGGCTTCCTTCCTCCATTTGACAGACAGCTTCTGAACATACACCACGGCCACGCCTGATGCCAAGTGTGACGCCAAGTACTGGGGCAGGTGTGCCCTATCAGGGCCCCTGTGAACTTTGAGCAACCTTTTTGGCAGTGAGCTCTGTGAGGGCCGCTTTTATCATCAGAGGACAGCATCTCAGATAAAAGTGCAGTATTTGGAGTCAGAGGCTCGGACCCAGCATTCTTCCTCCCTCATTGATTGATCTTAAATGTGCTCATTTACTTTTTGAAGGTTCAGGGTCTTTGTGTGTCAGAAGGGGCAAGTGCAGGCCTCACTGTTGTGATGGAGCTGAAATAATAGCCGTTCTTTTCTTCTTATGTAAGAGCCTGTTACTGAGTGAATGTTCCGTGAGCATTAGCTCCTGTTAGTGCCAGAATCGCTCGTCTGAGAGACTCGGCACCAGACACGTTTCAGAATTTGACACTCCCAGCAAGTTCTGGGGTAGCACCCTGAAATCAAATGCGTATTTCTGTAGCTAAATAGAGTGATACACTCAGAGAAAAGAAAAAAATACATTGACATGAGTTCAGTTTTGCTGCTAGATGAATTATAAATAAACTTTTCTTTCAGAAAAGGGATTTTGCAGTTGCAAGTAAAGGATTGTGGCTTCCCTTGCGTGCCATCTCATAACCCGGTCCTTGGGTCCCGGTTGTAAGGATGGTATCCTAATGTAGATTCTGAGAGTTTATCATTTGGGATCCCAGCCTCCAAGTTTTGGTCCCCCACTCATTAGCTCTGGACCTAGAGCCATTACACGCTGAAGTAGAAAGATGGCCGGACTTGACTCTCAGTTCCACGGAAGTTCTAATCACATAATGTCAGATGGAGTGTGTGCCAAGTGCCTGGTGTTCAGTAAAAGTAGCTCCTTAGTGCTTAGATACTCCAGGGACTGGAATCATTTTAGCAGATGGTTTTACATCTCGCATTTGGACATGGTCTTACCCAACCTATATGTCTGCTGTCACAGAAGCCAGCTTCATGGCCCAGGTTGGAAGGCAGTCCCTGGTGGTAGGTGGGAGGTGGGCCTATTGTGGGTGTGACTGGATCCAGTTCATGGCAGTGAGGGCTGTGCCGGTGTGTGTTCCCCACAGGAGCGGACAGGAGTGAAGATGGTCATGATCCAGGATGGCCCATTGCCCACGGGAGCAGACAAGCCTCTTCGTATCACTGGAGACGCATTTAAAGTACAGGTAGGAAAGAGCCATGGGTTGGGTGAGTCCTGGCTGTGGGACTGTCACTTGGTGGTACCCTAGAACTTTTATCTTCCTCAAGTAATTGTGAAACTGGCTGCTCCGTTATTGAAGGTAAACTGTTCTCCTCAACAAAGTTTGGTGATGAAAAGAATCTAGGTTTGTGCTGCCCAAAACCAGAGGCCTTAGCTACTTGTGGCTATTTAAATTCACTCACATTAAATAAAAACTGAGCTCCTCATGTACACTGGCCACACTTCAAATGCCCAGTAACACCTGAGGCTGGTGGTGACTGTTCTGGACTGTGTGTGTGCAGAACAGTTCCGCGCTTCTGCTGGTGGCGCGGCTCAGGATGGTTTTTTTGTTTTGTTTTGTTTCCCCCGTGTCATCCTTCCAGGTGCAGTTTTGATTTGCTAACCTGTGGTCAGCTTAGATGCAGGCTGTGCTTGGCTTTTACTTGCTCATTCTCTTCTGGGCTTATTTTGCAAGCCCTTCAGCTGAGGTTGGAGGTGAGCACAGGTACCAGAGCCATCCAGGTGCCTGGGCACCCTCATAGCAAGTGTCCTGCGCCCCGAGCTGCCAGGGGAGACAGCCCCACTGGCTGAAAGCAGTAAGGGGCTTGGTTTTCAATCCCCTGGGGTGGTCCTGTCCTTCCAGCTCTTGCTGGTAGCAAGAATTCAAGTGGGCAGAGGGTGTAAGGTCTTTGTCCTCAGTGAAACACAGATGTACTTTTTTCTGCCACCTGCAGCCTGTCTTGCCATTGTCACATTCAGAGTAGCTCCAGGGTGATGCTCCTCGGTGAGCCAGGCCGCCATCAAGAATGGATCTTCTCCGGGAGCATTGGGGTTTTGATCAGTGAAAGTTTCCAGTCCCTGGCAAAACATTTCTCCCAATTCTGAACCCTATCCTTCAGCTAAGCTGGTCAAGGTACACCTGTAAAATAACAGTTTTAGAACAGGAGTGAGGGCAGTGATGGGCATGCTTCTGCCTGGGGACTCCAGTCGGTGATGCGGTCCTTCACTTCCATCAGGCCAGAGTCCTCATGTGCTATCTCCTCCAGAGCTCCCGGCCTTCTCTCAGTGTGAACAGTTGGGCATTTAAGGAACCAGATTGCCTCTCGCCTTTCCCCACCCTACTCAGCATCCAGCCGTGGGCTCCAGTACTGTGGTGGTGTCGGATCCAGGCCGCGGCAGGCTGCGGGGGGGCCACAGAGTGCCTGCTTCTTGACTGCCTTCCTCAGAGGCCGCCTTTCTCTGTCACAGCCTTTGATGGTGTCTTTTGTAGGGAAAAACCTCAAGCAAAGAATATATCATTAATGTCCCATAAACTTGCAGGAAATAATTTTAACTTAATGGGTTTTAGTATTTTTTAAATTTTAAAACTATATTTCACTTTTTTTTTTTCATTTAGGAGATGGAGTCTGCTGTATTTAGGGCACCTGTATACCTCTTCAACCTGCTTAACGTTTTGCTGTATGTGTGTGCATGTGTGTGTGTTTCTTTATCATTGAAGTGGCAGATGTTACGACTCTACCCCTAAATCCTTAAGCATGTATCTCCTAAGAATAACCAGGCCTAAGAAAACTGTACTTGTAAAACATCGTCTCGTATCCAGTACGTATCCAGATTTCTCCAACTGTCCTAAGATTTAAATTGCTGACGGGTTTGTTTTGTTTCTTCCTAGACACAGTTCTCACATTCCCTTGAGTTGTAAGGTACAGTAGGTCTTCAGCACAGATTCCTGCGTGGCTGGTACTGGCACGGGCTGGCCGACTTGCAGCGACAGACTTGCCAAGTGTGTGTTTTGGGGAGGAGGACACTTGAGTCTGCCTGGGATATAGTGACGTCCACAAGGAAGTCTCACCAGGAGATTATAGAAATAAGATAGGCTTGCCCTTTTGTTGTTGTTGTTTGTTTGCTTAAAGCAATGTATTTGGCTTTCAGCCTTTTCTTTTTAACTTACTGCAGTGCCTCTGTGATGTAAAGCCTTGGCAGAGTTCTCTGTCTCGTGGACCTGCCCTCAGTGGGCGTCTTAGACACCCCTTCCTGCTAGAAAGAAATGGCATCAAGAAACACCTAGGTCAATCCACTGTATTGATCAGAAAGAAAAAGATTTAAAAATTTAAAAACACCTAGGGGTGATAGGAATCCATTTCTGACCACACGCAGATGTGCTCACCCAACTGAGGCTTTTTATGGAAGGTGGACCCTTACCTGTGTGGACATTTGGACACATCACTTCAAATTTGATACATGCATCCCTACATGTCCCGTAAGCAGTAAGCGAATTATCCTAAAGCAGAGCGCCTTTAAACCCCAAGTTAAGAGGGTTTGATCTTGAAATTTCACCTGGTGGTGTATCTTTTTTCAGGAATTTTTTCTCATAATGCTTTTTGTTTGTGTTTATGCAGCAAGCAAGAGAAATGGTACTAGAGATTATCCGAGAAAAAGACCAAGCTGACTTTCGGGGTGTACGTGGTGATTTCAACTCCCGAATGGGAGGAGGCAGTATAGAGGTATGCTTAAATTACAGGTTAGTAGGCAAATGAGATGAGGATTAAAGTTGTAGGTCACACTTCTGTCAGCTCTTTAACCTTGAGCAAGTTAGTTAAGTTTTGTCTCAAAACCTTAAGAATTACCTCGCTTGTTAGGGTGGGTGTGAGGGTGGACTGGAACGGAATCGGCCTGTAGTGAGGGGAGCTGGCTGCATTTCAGGGCATGGGGCCGTTTCCCTTGGTTTTGAAGCTTTGCTTTAGAGGTTAACCAGTTGCCCAGGTAAAAACCAAAGTTCAGGATTTCTTGGTGATGTATATCATGATTCTATCAAACTCAGCAGCCTGTATTTATTGAAGAGGTTGCAGGGGGGTCAGAGTCTATCCTAGAAAATGAAATTTTGTTGTGTGAGACAACATGGATGAACCTTACAAACAGTATGCTCATTGCAATAAGACGGATACAGAACAAATATTGTACGATTCCACTTACCTGAGGCACCTAGAAGAGGCAGATGCATAGAGGCAGACAGTACAGTAGAAGCTATCAGATGCTGGGGGAAGGAGGAGTCATTGTTTAATGGATACAGAGTTGCTGGGGATGATGAAATGGATATGGATAGTGGTGATGGTTACACAACATTGTGAATGTATGTAATGTCATTGAATTGTGTACTTACAAGTGGTTAAGTGATAAATATTATGTATATTTTAGCCACAATAAAAGAAAAATGAAGGAAAAAACTACACTTTAAAGAACCACTAGGGCTACGCATGGTGGTTCATGCCTGTAATCCCAGTGCTTTGAGAGGCTTAGGCAGGAGTACTACTTGAGGCCAGGAGGTTGAGATCTGTCTGGGCAATATAGCCAGACATCATCTCTACCAAAACAAAAAAAAACTATTTAAATTAGCCCGGTGTGGCACATGCCTGTAGTCCCAGTTGTTCTAGAGGCTAAGGAGGGAGGCTCACTCCTCCCAGGAGATCGAGGCTGTAGTGAGCTACAGTTACGCCACTGTAATCCAGTCTGGGTAACAAATCCAGCCTGGGTAACTGTGTGTATGGTGTGTTTATTGGAAGGCAAAAGTACTATTTTTCATCTTTTATCTATAAGGTTTATTCATTTTTATAACTATTTTGATCAAATCTCAAATTGGATGCATTTAACAGTTAAGAATGCAGTTCAACCACAATGTTATTCCTAAAAGGGAAAAATGTCCTTTATTATATCATTTCTAGGAATGCACTATAATAAAAACTAAGTTGTGTGTTAAAATATGTCCTGGGCCGGGCGTGGTGGCTCGCGCCTATAATTCTAGCACTTTGGGAGGCTGAGACAGGCAGATCACTTGAGGTCAGGAATTCAAGATCAGCCTGGCCAACATGGTGAAACCCCATCTCTACTAAAAAATACAAAAATAAGCCGGGCATGGTGGCAGGTGCCTGTAATTCCAGCTACTCAGGAGTCTGAGGCAGGGATAATTGCTTGAACCTGGGGTAGGTGGAGATTGCAGTGAGCCAAGATCGTGCCACTACAGCCTGGGCAACAGAGCGAGACTGCATCTCAAAAATAAAATAAAGTGTCCTGGCCAGGCACGGTGGCTCACGCCTGTAATCCCAGCCCTTTGGGAGGCCGAGGTGGGCGGATCACCTGAGGTCAGGAGTTCAAGACCAGCCTGGCCAACAAGGTGAAACCCCATCTCTACTAAAAATACAAAAATTAGCCGAGCATAGTTGCCTGTGCCTTTTTTCTCAGCTACTCGGGAGGCTGAGGTGGGAGAATCATTGGGACCCGGGAGGCGGAGGCTACTGTGAGCTGAGATTGTGCCACTGCACTCCAGGCTGGGCAACAGGGCGAGACTCAGTCTCAAAAAAAAAAGGAAAAAAAAGTGCCCTTTAAAAAGACAGGTTTGTGAAAAGTTCTGATGAGGTTTGGTTTCTCTGTGCCTAGGTATCTGTGCCTAGGTTTGCTGTGGGCATTGTAATAGGAAGAAACGGGGAAATGATCAAAAAGATCCAGAATGATGCTGGTGTGAGGATTCAGTTTAAACCAGGTGGGTTTGATGATTCAGAAATCCTTAGTGTTGAAAGGATGATAAAACACCTTACAAAACAAGGGCTTGGCTATTGGTTCATGTGTGTTCACCTTTCTTGTCCTTGCAACATTTCTGCTACCAGATTACCAATCTCAGTTTCTTTTCCCAACCTTCTTTTCCCTCCCTGGATCCCTGTCAGTCACCTTTGATTTCCAGGCCTTTCTTTTTTTTTTTTTCCCTCCTTGGACTATATGCATAGTATGTCAGCTTTTGATTTTGCCTGGTAAAATTTAAATATATATATATAATATATATATAATCGATAAGTTTTTGAGTTGTATTGGAGATAATTTAAAACTAACAAAGCAAACAGTCCAGAATAAAGGACAAATTTTAAATTTTATAAATTTGCCCTTAATGAGCCCAACTGTCTCAGTGTGTCTGAAAAGAGGAAACGTGGCGGGCTACTGTTCCTCTGGAAGCGTTGCCAGTTGCTACTGACCCCCAGTTGGCTTTTTTAAGTCAGAGTTGTCTTTC